AATTTTAGCCCAGATTTTAGTTGTGCCCCCGCAACCAGGAGAGCAAAATCCCCTACGATTTAATCACCCTCTCTCGGTTTGATATTTTAAATCATTTGCAGGATATGTTTGAATAAATTGAAAAAGTAAAAATAGAATCTAAATGCAATATTCAATTTCAGATATAATTCAGGCCGTTTTGGTGATTTTTTTTAGAGCTTGAATTAACCCTCTGCTGCATGGAATTTTTTTGCGACGCCGATTTTGATGAAAAAAATATATGTTATAGTAAAATGTAATTAAAAAGACACGTCTTTGAGCGTTTTTTGAAATTTCAATTTTTTCTTTAACTTTTGAAGCTTAAAAAAGCTCATTGCCATACGGCAACAACATGTAGTAATTTCTTGCCAGAGTATCCACTTGTTTCCATATGGCAACAACATACAGTGAAGGAGTAGAATGGTGATGCCAGGGCATAACTCTTGTGCGGGACTTTTGGAAAAAAAACTAAGAAAAAAAGTTTTTTTGATTCTTCTAACATTACCAAATTCAAAAAGCATCTAATGATGAATTGTAAGCTCCGTTTTTGGACAGCACGACACATGATTGCGTCGGAGCCAGTATGTTGTTGCCATATGGCAACAGGAAAAGTGTTGGGCCAGAAGTTTGCCGGTATGTTGTTGCCATATGGCATCTTGCCGTTTTTGAGCCGAAAATAATATTTAAATTGTTTTTATTATCATCGGACCAGGAAATTTTCAATTTAGACCGTATGGGCCATAACTGTGATTTTTTTCCCGTCTCTGAAGGCAAGCCAAGTCATTCAAAACATCCTTCAAAGTTGGGCTCCTCGCGGCTACTCCTCAAAAATGGTCCCGTTGGAAAAACATGATTATTTAGTTGATTTGGCAGCTTCAGTTCCCCCCACCACAATTTTTTTTAGGTTGGTAATGCGGTTGAGTTCCCTATAATCCACACAGGGTACCAATTTGAGCATTCCTGAATGTACTACGAATTAAATAATTGCTGTTGCCATATGGCTACGCGATGCAGTAGAGGGTTAATATTTATTCAACATACCTACGATATTTGGTGAGACATGAGAACTTTTACATTTTGACTGTGCAAATTGATGGAAAACTTATGGAAGAATATTCAGCGATGATACATTGTTTGATTAATGCAGACATTTAGAATCAAAGTTTTTTTGCCAAGAGCTTTCAAAACATTAGAATCTTTAAAATTTGACAAACTACCTAGCCGATTTAAAAGTGCCTGTTTCCCGTGACATATTACTTTGAAGCTGGCACATTAAAATTTTAGGACGGATCGAGAAGCTGCGAAACTAGGTGACTCAGTTTGCGACGAATGGTGCTTTTTGAAAGTTGGCAAAATTGGCATTTACCTAAAAAAGCACACGTAAAATGAGAGATCATCTACAATGGCGACACCACAGCAATGATGAAACTACAGAAATGCCTACCACGGTTTCCAGATTTGCAGACTTCCTGTCATACTTTATTTTCTGCATGGAAAACTACTGAGCGAATATTTTTGAAAATTTTAGTCATTTTCCCTCTCTATATGAAAAGTACTCTATGAAAACTTCAAGCCATGGTGTTGGTTCGGTCTCTTTTCAAAAAATAAAAATGTGAGCGGAGATTTCGAGACACCGAAACCGAGATACGGATTTTTGCGGTTTCATGGTCGAGCAGTTCTATCATAGTTACCTTTTTTAGGAGGATAATAAGCTCTGCATTCGTAGAATTTTCCATTGCTCTTCCACGAACATGTTCTACAAATGCACATGAAAATTTCCAGAGTTACACTCTCGCAAAAGATAAAATAAGGGATAGAAATTTAAAATCACTAAAACAAAGATACCTGTTTTTTGTAATTGTACGTCTGATACACATTATACTTAAAAATACTGACCAATATTGTTACCTTTACTTAAAGTTTGACTTAGAGGCGGTTGAAAATCTCCCTCGTCAGCGCTCGGAAAAATGGTTCTGTACATAGTTTCCACGATATCTTGCTGTGAAGACGTTCATGACCGGCTCTCACGACTGCTCGCTCTTGGTCTATTCAAAATTGCATTCTCACTATTCTGCCGTAATCAACCTGCTTATAAATATCCCGGCGCGACATTTTATGTCGAGATCTTCCATAAGAATCAGGATGTACTGTCGGAGAAACTTTTTGAATGTCCCGCTACTCCGAAACCGGTAAGTCAAAAGGTACATTTATTCTTTCTCTTGTCTTGTCATGAATAGAACAAAAAAACACGAAAATAGTCCAAATAGTTTCACTAAACAACGCAAGAAAAACGAGTACCTAAGGCTATAAAACCACAAAACATAAGGCCTCGGACATTGCGGAGTGGTTTTAACCCCCCTCCCCCCCTCGACCGGGAAAAAGTCAAAGAAGTCAAAAAAATGTCAAAGAAATTTAAAATTATTTTTTATCACTAAATGGGGGTCTAGGTATTGTGATTTTTGTAATTTTTATATATGCTTATTTCCTGGTTGAGGAGGAGGTTAGAAACCACCCCGAAACGTCCCAGGCGTTATGTTTTGTTGTTTTTTAGTTCTTGGTTACCTGTTTTATTGAGTTTTTCAATTCATGAATAGAGCGAGCAAAGGCCTTTATGATGGAAGGGGCAGCATAGAGAGCAGTTAGTAGTATTCTTTGAAAATGTATGAAAACTTCCGCCCATCCGAAGTCATGACCATTTTCCTGGATTCGTACGCTAGACGGTCTACTGGAAATTTACCGTGTCTCTTTAGAAATGTCTCTCTTCAAAAAACGCCCGAGGGAAAATTGTTCTGGAGAGGGATTTTTGTAAGGTTTGCATGAGCAGGAATAAAAAAATAAATGCTGCATCAAACAAAACGCTCGTAGTCAAAAAAAACTTTGCTCTCTCCGGCTAGACGCGATCCACAATAGTGTGTAAACTAGTTGTTAAAAAATAGAGAAAAAAACCGTGATTTACTTTTCACACAGGAAACACGAACACCACAGAGCTTTTTTTGCCTGGAAGTAACCGGAAAACCTGAAAAAAAGCGGATCTACTCCATTGCGAATTTTTACATGGTTACATTACCGAGGGTCAAAAGTGTAAAAGACTACGGGTAAAGTTGAACATTTTTTTTTCCGATCAAAATAGTGCCTGAATTTTTTTCCATCAGTAACGTGTTTCTTCTCTTAAACATTTTAAAATGTCTGGACCTCCCCTCTTAATCAATAAAAAATTTTTGAACTGCGCACAATGAGAAATTACGCGTATTGGCGAAGTATAATTGATATCTGTACATTGAGAATTTTAGTTAAAAATAGTAAGAAGTGTAATGAGACCTTATGCGGAGACAGCAAAATTAAAATTAGACGTGAGTGTAAAAGAAAAATGTAGTAATGGTTCTATCATATACGTGCATTACAGATAAATACTCAGAATACCATCCTGTCAATTATGGAAATAATGTCCGTATTGTGTAGAGCTCCCATCGTAAGCAAGCAAATGCCGGGTTAGTAAGAAAGTCGTATCTGCATTGAGAATTTTGAAAAAAAGACGTATGTGTTACTGTGAAGAGTTGATACTTATGTTAGATAGGGATCCTTTTTGAAAGGGCGAATTCGGCGATTTGGGATTGAGTGCGATGGTAAAGCTGGAAACGAAACAGGTGCAAAAACCACCTAAGGCTATTTAAAACTCCGTAGCCACTTATATATCGACGGTGAAACTACCAAACCATGTATCTCGTTTGCGGTGTTTAAAAATCTACGCTCACATTTTATTTTTTTGAAGTAGACCAAATCAATATCATTCCTTGTAATTTTCACGGAATTTTCTCCGCACAAAGAGGAAAAATCACAGAAATTTTCAAGACTGGATGTTAAGTAGTTTTTCATTTAAAAAATAAAGTATGACAGGAAGTCTGCGACGTCGCAAACCGAGATACGTGGTTTGGTAGTTTCACCGTCGATATCTTTAATCTTCCGTTGGATGAAACCCACTTTCTTTAGGCAATTTCCAACCAATCCATCATATCGTAGTTTGATATGGTCACGTCATTGTAACACCATAAAAATATAATGAAGAATATGCTTTATTTGCTCAAAGCCTATATCTCGTCGAGACTGTCTCAGTTATTACATCTTCCATTATTTAAAGCTTTGTTAAGTAACTTCAATCTCAGTCTCCGTATGAATGAATCTAAGGTGGTTCGATGGTCGTTTTTGCGTCAGAACGACATGCGATTCATCGCATTTATTAGCTCCATGTTTTCAGCTACTTGTCATTTTCATCGAATTTTGAGATCGCATTTCGGTTATCACGAAACTGAAGAATTCACTTACCAGATTTGACAAAAAATTCAACGTAATAAAGGCAGGGTTTTTTTTAGAGGAAAGAAATAGCATTCGAGCGCATTTCCGATATCAGTATCGAATTCGATGTTTCTCCCCTAAGAAAAATCCTGACTACTACTTACTAATTGTTGAATCTGTTGGTCAAATTTGGTAAAAGAATTCTTCAGCCGCGTAAAAACCTAAATGCTTTCTCAGAATTTGAAAAAAAATGACAAGTTGCTGAAAACACGGGGCTAATCGATGCAATAGATCACATGTATTTCTGACACAAAACACGGCGTTCATCGATTCAACTTAATCCTTTGTGTCGTGGTGGTACTTATTCGCAACACGTTTTTTTTTTTTGTTTCTTTTTTTTTGAGGTTTTTAGGAATTGAATCTTTCCTGTGTGGCATGATTTTAAAAATTTCCAATAGATTCTTCTTCTTTTGAATAACTAATTCCCAAAAATTAAAATTTTTGAAAATACATTTTTTACTCAGTCTTTTTCATACAAGCTATAAAATAGATCAGAGTCCCCCAGAATCCAAGATCCAAAATTTATTCATGCCATAAAGGGTAAACGAAAATTCAACAGGTAAGTAAATAAACTCTTTTTCAAAATTTGTAATGAAGGTATATGGATGAAATGCAGGACATCATTACTAATCATGTACCCCGTTCTTACTCTATCCAGACAGAATCAAATCGTTCTGCTTGGTTTCCAAAACACTCCTGCAACACTGTTCATTGGGGTCCCGATCGTAGACAAACCTCTAGATTGGCCGAACCTCGTTGAGGAGAGATGGGACTTGGTGTTTTCTCTGCTCAAGCAACAGTGTAAGAACAAAATTCAACCCTATCTGTTGGGCAATGTCCATATGGACACTATAGCCGATTTTATGAGCGTTGCTGATTTCCAGCGCTTCGCTCGGCCCATTACCAGGATGATCGAAAAATTCAAGGCTTATTCCTTGGTTTTGGAAAATATCGCGAGGACCTACCAAAACGACCTCCACAACTTGTGGCACAAACTGAAAAATAAGGTACTTTTATACTATCAACTTCCCCAAATAGCAGTGATCGCGATAAGTTGCGATTTAATCGGAGAGTGTATCGCGATTTTAGTGACGTCGATTTATTGCAATTTTATCGGATAAAAAATAGCCATGAGTTGCAATTTCATCACATATATTTTCGATAAAATCGAAATTTTATCAACGGCAATTAACCGCGATATTATTGAATAAAAAATCGTGATAAATTAAGATAAAATTTTGGTTTTATCGAACGCGATGTTATATCGAAATAAAATTGCGACAAGATTGAGGATAACCGCTGAGATAATGATGATCCTAGAGCTTGTACCACCTAAAAATCGTAAAAAATCGCAACTTAATTTCAAAATATCGCAATTTTTCCGTTGAAAATATGCTACTTGGGTAAGTAATCCTCCATAGCGCAATACACGACGCTAAAAACTTAAGTGGTAGTCAATTTTAAGTGCTTTTGGCGCATCGCGACTATCTAATGCGGAAAAAATTCGGGAAATTATGTCTTGATAAAAGCCTGTTTTTCCGTGAGTTTGACGTATTTGAGAACATGTTTAAGTCGCAAAAAATATTTTTGAACTTTCGGTAACGAGATTCGGCTATTGGATTTTCATTACATGACAAGTTTTCAATGATAAATCACAGATCCTTTACTCCTTCTCCCCTTTTTTTAAATTTGTAATTGGTGGTTTCAGAAAAAAGAAATATGAAAGGTTTGTCAGTAAACACTATCCGACTTTATTTTCTTAACTTTGAAGAAAAATTGGAGTAAATTGCTCAGATGTATTATATTTCAAAATTGTCACAAAATTCCTGTTCCTCTGTGGTTGTTTTTTTTTCTCCCTTACAATATAGTCCCAAAAACTGTCAGAACTGTCCTAAAAATGATCAAATACTGCGATATCGACTTTTTTGCACGCATGAAACACGCTTCTCTACTATCGTTGTAGGAAATTTTGTCAACGGCTTTTTGTCCGCGCACCTGTTTTTTCTAGTAATTTACGTCCACGCGTTTTTTCGGCACGGAGGGTTTGGTCCACGTGCCAGTTGAGATCCAAAGTTAATTGACCCCACTTGTAAATATAAACGACAATTGCTCACGACGTCTTTGGATGAAAATATGTAATGTCTTGGAACAACGAGGGTTTGCTTGTTTTTTTTTTCTCTTTTTTTTTCTTTTTTTCCCCTTTTTTTTGGTTGTTTGATCTAACGGAAAATAATATATAATTGAAATTGTTGGTATAAATGAGGGAGCGTCAATTCCATTAGACAACATTCACTAAACTCTCTACACCTCAGGACTTAATAGGACTCAACAGGACTTAATTACCTTTCAAGAAATTCCCACCTTGTTATACCTAAACCGGATGAGCCTCTTGATTTGCCTCAGCTAAAGGCTCTTAGATTTTTCCTGTGTACGATAGGTATCTTGATTTATTTTGCGAGGAAAGATCTGTACTTTTAAAGGATAACTGTCATTCTCAATCCGTTCAATTCCGTTGAATACTGTTCAATACCTCTGTTGTGAAATAGTTGCTTCAGGCGCCGCCGCACGGCGGGCTGGCGGTCAACGCGAAACGCGCATTGGCGCCTACAAACCTAACTGGATACTTCACGCATTGCGTAATCCGTGAAGTAGCCCCTTACAAACCTAACTGGATACTTCACGCATTGCGTTATGCGTGAAGGATCCACTTAGGTTTGTAGGCGCCAGTGAGCCTCTCGCGCTGGCAGCACGCCGCTCCGCTCTGTTAGGCTCTAATATTTATACTCGCATAGTCAGCGTGTTTTAACTGATGATTTTGAAATGTTTGCACTCTCTGCATTGATTATTCTCATTTAAATTTATGAAAAAAAAATTTGTATCAATTTATCAAAGGAGAGTAGTAATATAATGTGTTTTTTAAATATTGGTGGTTCCGTGTCAAATTTAATAATCTCCAAGGCACTTTAATTTTTTATTTTTCATTTTGTGCTTATACTGTGCTGCAACGAGGTGTACGTGCAACCAAACGCTCAAAATTTCTCGTATTTGACTCTAAAAGATCGATGTACAAATGGGTTAACAGTTACAATGGGTCCGCAGTTCTCTTGGCACAATTGCGGCTCATTGAGATTAATATCGATGTCATCGCTTGGAAAAGGTTTTACAAATATTTGTCACGTTTTAAAAATATAAATGTTTACGAAATTAAATAATAATGTCATTCAGAAAATGAGCAACCATAACAACACCTCCTTCTCTCTCAATTTCATATTGTCAATAAAATTTTACGTACCGACTAAAATATAACGCTTGGACCAAGTCGCTGTTGCTTATTTTACAAGTGGGCGTAAACTACTGAACAAAAAATCGCTGACAAAATGTCCTGAAACCTCTACTATAGATCCCTTAGAGAAACTTTATAGTGGGGTGGTGTCTCTAGTTATGAAAATCTTAACATTCCTGATTACGCACAATTTTTTGGCTACATTTAGCGACGGAGAACTAAATTCTACTCCAGACCATGTCGATCCGCACATTTAGCTCATGAAATGGAGAATTTGCATGCGAATTTTGTATGGTCTCCTCTGAAAGTGCTTAAAGAGTTGATTTCACAGCATTTTTTATTATTTTTTTTTCTGATATGGGAAATAGTATAAAAATAGATTTAAAAGTGAGAAAATGCACCGCTTGGTGACTTCATCTGGCGGAATTCCCCATTTAAACACACGTATTTTAGCAGAATAGATCATTTGTCATATATTCTCCAATAATTGTTCAATTCATCAATTCATGAATTAATAGGTGTCCAGTTCACTCAGTAGTTTCCACTTAAACACGAAATTCATCAAACTCCAGGTATCTGCAAATTCTCTACGTAGTCTGGTTCCTTCTTGAGACATCAGTCAATTTCAATTGAATTTGTTTCACTGTTTCATTTAACCAGTATCATTCAGTTTTCATATCCAATTTTTTCCAGACGAGGGGCCTCAAGGTCACGAAGGCTCTAAACGAGGTGCGTTTGGCGATCCAGCTTCTCGGGCAGAAAATAATCGACCCCTGTTTCGTCCTATCCCGTGATGAAGGGTTCGACTTGAAAGCAGCCCGCGAAGCGGAAGCCCTGTGCCGGGTCTACTGTCGGTTCTTGTCGGTGGGCTTCTCCGTTTTCCCCGGGACCGGCGGCCGGGACTGCAAGAACCTCCTCGGATCAGGATACTGCACGACCAGACGACAAACGATCTGCAGGTGCACGGCCAGGGTGTCCTGCCTGGCGGGAGTCGTCTCCCGCGTCGAGCCCAGGACCATGGCCATGTGCAGCAACACCTTGCGGATAGGCATCCGGCGCTTCACATCGCACACGCCGATCGATGTGGGTGGCACCACGGTCGATGTCGAGAGGTCACCGGAGCGCCTTGCGCATATGCAAAAGGCCGTGGATGAAATCGAGTCCATGGCTAAGTTAGCGAGGTCAGATTCCTCGGGTTCTGATTGGAGGAGTATCAAGATAGACTAGAGGTCGAACGTAGTCCGATGACGCCCTCTCCTCTAGAAGGTAATTATTATCAAGTAGGTCGCATTTGGCAAAAAGGATCCAGCTAAATTACAGTGTCTTCAAAATATTGGAACTATTTTTACTTACTTTATGTAGAGTATCAAAATCTATGCCATTATTTTCCTTTAAAATCAACAATTTTTCAGTGGAAAGGAAAACTGTTTGACATTCTGAGAGATTTTTCAGACAATTATGAGGGCAACATTTTTACAACACTGTAATCGCGCTGATTCTTTTTTGTTAAATGTGATCCAAGTTTCATACCCTTAGGATACAAGGGAGAATGTACTATAATTTGCAATTAGGAACTAAAATATCTAGCTCATCCGAAGAAACACGTACGTGCATAGAAAAATTAATGTTGCATGCATTATTACTAAACTGAGCCAAAAATTCTAGTTCCTGATAGCAATATGTAGTCCGAATAACGCTGCGTGATATCGATACATAAAATGAGTCCAAAAAGGGCCTCGCCTTCCATCTAGAATACGCATGCTTCCCCCGAGGAAATGTTGACCTCTAAAAACGGCGCGACACGTGAAGAGTAAAAGGTCTTAATTCCTCGATTCTCTTCCCCAAAAAATGTTGTAAGCACGCTTAAAGAGGCACGGGGACTGCCATTTCTGGACTAATTATTTTGGAAGAAGGGATTATGAGATACCAAATCCAGGAAAGGAGTCGCTTGGCTACTCAAATACATTAATTACACCAGTTTTTACTTGATTCTTCAACCTATGGTGACGCTCTATCGAATGCTGGAAGTGGTATCATTCAGTTGTAGGCAAACCTACGGCAGGAAAAAGCGAGATATGTCGACGGTGTACGTCAGCAATCACATAACTCGTTTGCGGCGTCTGAATATCTCCACCTCTAAGTTATTTTTTTAAAGGAGAACAAATTGGCATTAGGTATTCCTTGAAGTTTTAGCAGAATTGTTTTCGCACAGAGAGGAAAAATCACGGCAGTTTTAAAGAAGTGCCGTTGAGTAGTTTCCCGTTTAAAGAATAAAATTTGATGGGAAGTCTGTGACGTTGCAAACTGAGTTATATGAGTTATACTGACTCACACCGTCGATATACAGATTGAAATTACAGAATCATCCCACAAAAAATGTTGCAGGTCTACAGAGACATGTGAGAGTTCCCTTAAAATTTTGAAGCCATCTTGCGCAACAAAAAAAAAAGATCATAAAGTATGAAATGCTTTTTTTCCGCAGATACTGAACTACAGAAGAGGGGGCACGGAGATAGGGGAACAAATGTAACATTGCCATTCACTCGCGTACTAAAAATCGGGTTTCTATGACTTAACCTGAAAGGATGGTAAAAAACGAAGACATCTATTCTAGCCGCACCGAGCGTCTGCGTCGAGTATTAATAGAACGTATTTCTGTCGAACGGAACTATGTGCATTGAGACATGAGCCCTGAGACCCTTAAGAATATGTGCATAACAGGGCCTACGTCGTAGTGCACATAGTCCCGTTTGATAGAAATATGTCCAATAGAGACGTCAACCTTCAAAAAACGCGGTGACCGACGTCATCTACTACGTTGGTTAATGATTTTCGATTTTCCCTATAAATTTTTCCATCGTTGCTGCAGTATGAAGTTTTTTGTCCACGGCGTTCAGTATCATGTAGTTGACGTCAAACATCGTTTCATCTCTGTTAATTTCGGACGTAGAGACGTGACGGTCGGGCCGGATGCATTGACTGGAGCAAAAGGCACATTTTGACGTTCTACGACCTTTTTTGAATAGCGAGCATCAGTTGGATTACATTTTGCAAAGAGGAACCAAGAGCAATCCAATGTTGCAAAGATTGTGCTACTCAAATTCTTTGCAATAAAATTACCGAATTCACGCGAAAAATTGAATTGACCGACGTAATTTTCGTCTTAAAATTATCGTTTATTTGGAGTACACACAAAATTTGTTTAGATGATCAGCGTATATTTGCAAGGGAAAAAATTCGCACAGTTACAGCGACATTGGAATACTCTTGGTTCCATTCTGCAAAATGCAATACAGTTCAAAATGGCACCGAGGAATAGTCAGAAGTACAGCAGTGCTCTCCTTTGCGATCATAGCACGCAAGCGTCCGTAATCCAAGTTCGGGATGAGACCAACCTAGAGCTCCATTAAAAGGTTAACAAGCGCTGATTCAGCGACTCGGACTAGACACGAACGTCATTATAACCCCGCACAGACGCAGAACTGAGATATTTTTTGCATGGTTGTGATGTGTGAGAATCTCATTTTAAAAAAATGGACAAACGGAGAACCGATTAAACGGCCCCCTCTTAGTTAGAACCCAAAGCCGTCAACCTAGTGACTGATGGTTTTACAGCGAGACGAAACAGCATCAGTCACTTTCGAAGATGTTTTGAGTAATGCAAGAGAAGGTGAGGAAACAAACTAACCGAGGAGGGTTACATTCTATTTTTTCAACAATGCGTAAAAATGCATAAATTGTTGATTTTTGGATACTCTTCTTCGCAAAGGAAGAACCTTGTCGGTCAATTTTTTCTACTTTGCCATTATTTTTCATTGTTACATCATGCCTCAATCTGTTTCACCAAGTCCAGATGACTTAACTCTGAAAAGGGCCTACCTACTTCTCCCAAACTCCAACTAATTATGAAAAAGGAAAAGCCGATTTGTCATTTTTTTAAACTTAATTTCTAACCGTTTCCCACGTACAAATATTTTATGAATGCGGAGCTGTTCAAAATGAAAGTGACCCGCTTCGTACTCAAATTGTAACTTTTGACCTTTATACCATCGAAATTAATGAGCAGTCAAAAATCCTTGAATTTCATCATTCTCTACGTACAGTTAAAAATTTAAATTCCTCTTCTAATTCTACTATTCCCATAATTTCTGTATCGGTCTTTCTCTGACATTTTCCTGTTTGTGCTTCTTATCTTTTCCTTGGCTTTCCCAAATTTTTATGTTCCACCTCACTTCAGGTGCCTTATAGCTAAAAGTTGCCTTGGAGCCAAAAAAATCTTTACGATTATTTATGTATTTTTTTCTGAGTGCACCAATATGAGAATAGAATGGTAGGAATGTAACATAATGCTGGTTGATTTTTTTCTACGCTCGACAGAAAAATTGGACTAAATAGTTTTACAAGACTCGATTACTAGATTTTTTACACATAATTTTTCCCTCAATTACACGATTCACTCATCAGTTTTCTATAATTTATATGTTCATGTTGTTTTGCTCCTTATTACTCTCCAACTATTGCTAAGTTCGATCTACACTTATTTCTGTTATTGAATAAGCTCACCTCTTTTTGCAACAATATATACCTAATTTTGATGACTTGAGTTTTCCTCTCTTTTTTTTCTTTTTATGCCTTTGTGCCAAACATTCCACGAACTAAAAAGTTGTTTTTTTTTCAAATGGACAGAATTAAGCAGAGAAGGAAATAGTCACATTTTGGAAAGAAAATTGGTTAAAAATAAGTTTTCAATCCAACTGCACGTACATTTTCTCCCGACAAAAATTCACAGTCGAGAAAAAATATTTTAAGATGACATTGGGCATCGAACTTAATTTCTAACATTGAGTCTCGAAGAGGAGTAAAATTTCAAACATGCTCTTTTTCTCGATTCCATCTCGTTGCGTGTCTCAAAAACGTTAGTCCTTGAAGACACTTTGAAAGCATCTTTATATGTTTTTGAACCGGGCGAAAAACGTTTTTAACATTTAAAACATGGATTTTCCAGGACGATGAATGTCAGATTTAAGTTGTTTTCGAAACTGCTGAAAGCATGTCCTTTAATTATTTCTAGGATAGGAGGAGTATTGATACGGGCCGTTTTGAGCCTCATTCTTGGTTCCTAAAATCGACGATTTTTTGCTCATTGGAGGTCTATATTTGACGAAATGCATCATGATTTGGTCATTTTCGATCTCTTGTCAGGTTTATTTTACTGGTTTAAACATGGAACTGACGGCTGATTTTGGCGAAAAAGGCGAGGTTTAAGGTCGAATGTAAAAACATTCGCATTTTTCACCAAAATCGGTTTTCAAATCCATATGTTCAGGCCAGGTTCGGACCCGAAAAGAGACCGTAAATGACTAAATCATGACGCATTCCGTATAATATAGACCCTAAATGAGCAAAAAATCGTCAAGTTGAGGAGATTCAGCAAGGATGAGCTCAAAAATTGACCTTATCGATACCCCTCCTTTATCACTTAAAAATCAAAATAAATGTTCTGAAACAAATTGATTTTTCGATACGCTATTCAGAAGATCGTGGTAAGCAAGGCTAAATAAATATACGTTTAACATCGTGCGCGTTATTCCACCGCTACCTCCTCCTGCCCGCGCGCAACTCATCCTAAGTAAAGGTACAAAAAACGCCCTGTCGTACAGAATGACGCAATCTTAAATGCCGACTAGACGTTCATCCCCTCATCCTCATTACGTGCGTACTTGATGAGATGTGATGCTCCGATCAATAAAAAACCAGCGAGATTGAATCATTGCAAAACTGAAGATCGACTTTCGTTATCGAATGACATTGATCGATATATCCTATCTCATCAACGCTTTCTGTCGACTAACGACATTCACTAGCGACTCAACAATCAGGGCGCAGGTAGTGACGTGGTGTGCTTTGCGATATATCGATTTATCTGCCATTTAATCCCATAGAAAAGGATCGATAGACAGGGTGTTCGCAACGGATATCTAGATAATCGATTCTTTAAGGTTGTTTCAAATAGGAACATATCGATAGTGTTCTGGCTGATCGAAATTTATTGACCTCTGTCGACCCGAAGCCGAAGGGGTCTGGCGAAATGTCAAAACGTTAGTGAAATCTCATTAGTGCGTCAGCAGTCGTGGTGTGAAAAAAAACATCGAAGTTTAAATGGAAAAGTGAAAAAGTACAAATTTTTAGTCCATTCGTTAGTGGGCGTAATTGTCATTCGGTATTGAGTTATAGTGTTTCTCGGGCTTAAATTCTCAATCGTTCTGCATCAATTTCCGGGGATCC